GCGCTTTCTTATTTGGGGTCGAGGTGAGCCTCAATCTTGATGGTCTTGGTGGGGTCGTCGAGGCCGAGGCCGACCTCCTTTGTTTCCTTAGACTTGGCGGAGGCACGAGGAGGCTCCAGCGCTAGGATCTCTAGGTCATCGGCGGGCACCATCTTGGCATCGGTGACCACGCTAGCCATCTGGATGGAGAGGTCGGTGGCTTCGACGAGGGCGAGACTCTCTGTCTCATAGGCGTAGGCGATGGAGAGGTTGGCCTGCAGGGCCAGAACTCCTGTAGGCGAAGGCATCTTCAACACTAGATAGGTGTAGTGCGGTATGGCCATGAACTTGGTTAGAGCTGGCCAACCAAGTATGGCGTGGTAGGCGGTGTTGAAGTCGGCAACGTAGAAGTTGATGTGCTCAACGCGGTAGTTGCTAGCCGTGCCGAATTGTACCGGGAGGGTGATCTCTTCAAGCGGTTTGGATGCCCTACCAGGTACCACACCCTAGAAGAAGTCAGAGGGTGTGAGGTCTTCTATTCCAAGGCCTAGCTCCTTTAGGGCTCTGGCGAAGAGGAGGTTCAGAGCACTTCTGTCGTCGACGAGTACTTCCCTGAAAAGCACTTTCTTGACGGTTGCATCAAGAATGAGGGGGAAACGCCCTATGTAAGGGATGTCCGCCCACTGGTCGGCCCTGCTAAAGGTGATGGGGACCTCAGACCAGGGGTGGTAGCTAGGGTTGGCGATGGCATCTTTTGTGTTGACGACAAGCACCCGACGGGCAATGAGCTTTGGATCTCTTCTACTCTCGGCGGCGGTGAGGCCCCCGAAGATGGTGGCGACCACTTTGTTGTGATCCTAGAAGGCGTTGTTGTTATCCCCAGGTGATCGGCGACCTTTGGCTCCGTCGTCGTTGTCGTCGTCGTTCTTCTTGGCCTGGAACTCCTTAGCCAAGCCAACACAGTCCTTCATCTTGTGCTTGCTATTCTTGTGGAGAGGGCATAGGCCTTCGAGGATCATCTTGTACTGCTCGTCATAGTTGCGCTTGGCGTGAGGTTCATCAACAGCGGCGATGATGTGGTTTGGTCGGCGGCAACGATATTGACCAGCTTTGGATCCTTCCTCCGATCATGGCCATTGTCCTGATGGTGACCACAGTCGTCGTAGCGGTGGTCACTATGGCATCATTCGTCGGGGCGCTCATCGCTGCGGTGAGCTAGACGGTGAGTGCCCGCATCCTCGTTGAAGTGAACTTCGGCGTCGATGTACTGATCGGCAGTCGTGATCATCTCACCAATCTCCTTTGGTGACTTGCGATTGAATTTGGAGCAAAGGTCGCGGTGATGGAGTCCTCGAACAAAGGCGGTGATGACTTCTGCTTCTGTGATGTTGGGAATATAATTCTTCATCTCGAAAAATCGCCTGATGTAGCTACGGAGGAGCTCGGATGGTTTCTGGTAGATGCGATTTAGATCATGCTTGGTGCCCGGCCAAGTACACGTAGCCATGTAGTTATTGGTGAAGACTTTCTTCAACTGTTCCCAAGATCTAATGAAATCCGGGGTGAGGCTCGTGAGCCAGTTCATCGCGGTTGGTGTGAGCATGACGGGAAGATAGTTTACCATGACACTGGTATCTCCCTCGGCGGCACGCACAGCGGTGGCATAAGCTTGTAGCCACTATGTGGGGTTCATTCACCCCACGTAGGGCTCGACCCCGGTGATTTTGAAACCATGGGGCCACTAGAGTCTTCGGAGTGCTCTAGTGAATGCTCGGGGCCCTTTAGGATCATCACCGTCGGGATCTGCAGTGTTGCTCGGCGTTGAGTGGCTGGAGGGCTGCATCCGGATTATCAAACTCTTGCTCGTATTCTTGACGCCGGCATGCTTCCTCTTCATGGCGAGAGAAACGACGCCCATCGATATGACGTCGCGCATCTCGGAGATTGTTGATGTGCGCTCGGACATCTTGGTAGACTTCTTGGTCGTGTTGGTGAGGGCGTAGTCGATGCGGTTCCCCCTAGCTCCCCCTGGAGGGGTTGTCCATCATCACGCTGTTGATCGGCGAAACAGCTTGCTACTAGGGCGGCAGTTGGATCTTGGTGCAACGGATCGACGAATCAAGCTTGTCGAGTAGGAAGGTCTCTGATCCTGGCGGATCTCGCTGACATGGCAGTGTGCAGCTTTGACCATTGCGGTGACCTTGGCGACTTCTGGCGTTTGCTCGAGTCGGGCGAGCTCATTGGCGGCCACGGCCAAGTTGGCGCTTGGGGTCTTGTAGACATCGTGGCCGTCGACACGGATGAATTCGTCGTAGAGGTTGTGTTGGAGTGGGCGTGGCCTCCTTTGCGAGTCGAGCTGTTCGTTGCGAGCGGCCTCGGCTAGCACAATGGCGGCCTCATTTGCTTGGCGTTGCGCACGGTTGGGGTTCCTGTTGACACGAGCGGCGCGGTCCTCGTCAGTTTTCCCATCCTATGGAGGGCTATCGACGCTGACATTGAAAATCCCGCCTCCCCGGAAGGGTGGGAAAGGAGGTTGAACGGCGGTGGTTTCGGCGACAGTCTCCATCGAGCCCTGGGACTCGAAGTCTGGGTTTTCCTCTAGATGGTTTGGAGGGATGCTTCGGGACGTCGGCCGATTTACATCATGTTGACAGTTGGCGAGAGCTGGTCGATGATCTGGTCGACGAGAGGATATATGTCTCCCACCTGGTCGGTGAATTTACCCCTTAGGGCATCTTTGTAGGAGGCGGCGATGCTGGTGAGCCCAAAGGGTAGGGCCGTAACCTCTAGAGTTTCCTGATCGGCCTCCGATGGATCCGAATCGGAGGGTGATCGACGTTGAACCAGAGTGGGCAGAGCCGATTCTAGCGATGGAGAGGTAGTCGGTGAGCTTCTGGCCAACCTGATCGATGGATGCAATCAGATTGTCGTTGCTGACCCGCTTCCTCGGGTAGCGGGGGAGCGGGTAGCGAATTGTTGATAAAGACGACCTCGGAGGCAGTTCCGAGATCGGAGGCTGTTGATCTACACTGCTTGATGATCTCTCCGTCTCCATTAGCGTTGATGATCCAGGAGATCGATCAGCCCGTGAACATCTGGGCGAGCTGCGGGGAGGACGAAGAGCCTGCAAAATGTATTATCATGTTTGACATGGAAACAGCACGCACACTCCTACCTGGTGCGCCAACTGTCGACAGAATATCGTTGGCAGTCCTTCGAGGGGTATTCCACGAAGGTAGATTGATCGGCAGAGATGAGTGTAATCGAGAACAAGAAGGCAATAGAGATACAAGAGTTAGACAGGTTCGGGCCGTCAGCGCGACATAATACCCTACTCCTGTGGTTTGTTGGTTTGTATTGGCTTCGTATGATCTTGCGTGTCTTTTGAGGGGGTCCCTGTCCGCCTTATATAGTCTTAGAGGCAGGGTTTGTTGGTTTGTTGGTTTGTATTGGCTTCATAACAACAACAACACCACCACCACCCACCCATTATGGGATCGACACACACACCCACACACACATCTCGTAAAAAGGGATCTTTAGGATATCGCCCTTAATGACTTAACCATTGGGATTTAGAAATTGGGTGCCCGCAGTTCCATAGCCCTTCGCCTTTTTCAAGATTCCCTCAGGATCGCAATCTATATAATCTACATGGGTATATTAAATGTTCATAAAAAAACCACCACCCACCCACAACCCCCCCCCAAACACACACACAAAAAAAAAAAATAAAAAGGAAAATTGGAAATCCGTCCGGGCCGGAAATGAGAGGAACAGCCGTGTACTCCATCATCACCTAACCATTGGGATTCAGAAATTCAGTAGCTGATCGATGATGACTTGTTCGGAATCCTCGCTCATCTTCTTTGACTTTCAGGAGAATATATAAAAATATCGACTCGACGACTACATGGAGTTGAGTTGATGCGCGCCTGAGTCATCTCCATTATCCTCCGATTTTGATGCCCAACAAGGAAAGCATTGCTTGTACAAACGTTTCAGAAAAACATTTTGAGGCCATTTTGAGCCTGTTCGCTTGTCTGAATTTTGAAGGAATATGAATGGTTTGAAGGAATGCTGGAAGAATTTGTGAAGAAAAACACTGCTCCGGATAAAAAAATAAGCGAATCAAGCCGGGTTTAAGGACACGCGAACGGGCCTTTATTTGGCAGTGTCTTTTTTCTTTTTGAGCGGGTCGGATTTTCCATAGGAATTGATTAATTCTTCTGAACTAAACAACAAAAACCATGCACAGTTCTAGTGGACAGCAGATAAAAATTAATTTTCCATTTACTCTAATAGTTAGCAGCTAAAAAGTTTTCTTCTAGTTACTCTAAAATCAATTCTTGCTTGCTAGCCACCCTGCTACCCCACTAGAATTGACTAGAATCACTGCACGAAAAAAATAAGAACCTAGAGCCAAGAATTATACCAAACATGCTTTTCGGATGATGAATTAGAATTAAATTACTTTATGAGAGCATCTCTCTAGTAGAATGTATACTCTAATCCACAGGAAAAAGGTTTATTTTCGTAAAAAAAACTTATAAATAAAAATATGCTTCCAAAATAATTCTGACTTACGGACGAAGATAATTTATACATAATCTATTTAACTTGCTGCGCTAAATAAAAATTATAACTGAAAAAAAAGGAAAGGAAAAGAAAGAAAGAAAAAAAAGGGAGGAAATTCTGTTGGGTGACCCGAAAGCCGAGCCCGAGGCGCCGCACCAACTTTGTCTTGTCGTTGATTGATGATCTCCGTCCGCGTCCGCATCCGCATCCAAAGTCCGATCTCTCCTCTGCTCTGCCTCTGCTTTTGCCACCCTTTTTTTCTCCAGCCCTGCCCGCGGCCGGCCGCAGCCCTTGGCTTGTGTGCTTGCTTGGTGTTGCTGGCTGCGGGCTGCGGGAGCCGGGAGCCACAGCACTCCACTGCATCCCCCGGTTCGTCTCCTTCGCCTTGTTCGCTTTCCTCGCCTCCCCCTCCCCCTCCCCCTCGTCCTCGCCCCGCAGCAGCCATGCCAGGGGACCACAGCTCCAAGGTCGACATCTCCTTCGCCGGCCGCTTCACCGCCAGCGCCATCGCAGCATGCTTCGCAGAGGTATGTACCCGTCTCCCACCTGTTTGCCATCTCCCCCGCTGCTGGATCGCGATCGCCCCCAAATCTGGCTTGCTCCCTTCCATTTCCTTTTCCTTGCCGCCGCCGAGACCCTCCAGATTCCAAGGAGGATCACGCCGCCCATCCCATCCCATCCTCTTTAATTTGTTGCATCTTCTCGCTCGCAGATATGCACCATCCCGCTCGACACCGCCAAGGTCAGGCTCCAGCTTCAGAAGAACGTCGTCGCCGCTGCCGCCGGGGACGCCGCGCCAGCGCTCCCCAAGTACCGCGGCCTGCTCGGAACCGCCGCCACCATCGCTAGGGAGGAAGGGGCCGCAGCGCTATGGAAGGGAATCGTCCCGGGCCTCCATCGACAGTGCATCTACGGGGGCCTCCGCATTGGCCTCTACGAGCCTGTACTGTCCTCACCTCCTCAATCAACTAGTAGTATCTATTCTCTCATTAATTGATTAAAAGCTGATACATTTCGTTCCCTCCAATCAACTATTTATTGCTAATTTCCAATGCCAATCCAACCAACCACTTGCCTTACCTTACAGGTCAAATCCTTCTACGTCGGCAAAGACCATGTTGGAGATGTCCCTTTGTCCAAGAAGATAGCCGCCGGCTTCACAACTGGTATGGTAGGAATATGATGGATAGGCTCCCAGACCTGACCAGATGTTGTGTTCATCTTCATCCACTATTTCTTCCATTCATCCGTTATTACTCTTCTCATAGATTCATGTACACGCCAAAATTTCACACCTGGCATTAACTAAGCAATCCTCTTCAAAATCGAAGGTGCCATTGCTATCAGCATCGCCAACCCCACTGACCTTGTCAAGGTCAGGCTCCAGGCTGAGGGCAAGCTTGCGCCTGGTGTGCCACGCCGCTACACTGGCGCAATGGATGCTTATTCCAAGATTGCTAGACAGGTCTGCGCCCGCATGCTCTTGTCCCTGCTAACCCTTCGCTTGCTCTGTTTTGCTACCAATCAATAAAATTAGAGGTTGGCTCTTATTATATGTGTGATGTGCTTGGCTCATCCTTAGGAAGGGATTGCCGCTCTGTGGACTGGCCTAGGACCAAATGTAGCGCGGAATGCTATCATCAATGCTGCTGAGTTGGCCAGTTATGATCAAGTCAAGCAGGTGTTGTGTGCTTCTTTTAAATTCTCCTCAAATAACTCCATTGGCTCTTTCATTCACTTGCCTATACAAACTGTCTTTGCCGCAGACAATTTTGAAACTCCCTGGGTTCAAAGATGATGTGATCACCCACCTCTTTGCTGGTCTTGGTGCTGGCTTCTTTGCTGTTTGTGTTGGTTCCCCAGTTGATGTGGTAAGATGTCCTCTGGTGCTCAGTTAACCATCCCTTTGTGTTCATTTCCCTTTTGTGGCAGTGTAGTCAAACATTGTTTCTTGTCTGTCCAACCTTTAATTATTTCTTCCTACTGATACTTTCTATGGTATATCAACTCCCAGTATTAAACTGAGGACATGCTGTGCATGATAAAACATTGCCACTCTCTCTTTTGTACCCTTGCCGGTTAACCTATTCAGGAATCATGCCAACCGAAGTTTATACTGTATGCCAAATCCCCACCAAGAAAATTCAGCTTAGATTGTCCCTTTATGCCACAGGTTCAGAATTTGAGATCGATCGTAGTCTTCCACCATAGCTATTGTTTTCCCTCTTTCCTCTTTTTGTGAGGTCCACTCTTACAAAGTTACAATTTCACTCTGCTTTTCATGCGCGGATTCTAACTTGTGGCCTTGGATGCTGGTTACTTCTCTGGAAGTTATCTAGTACTTTGTTGTGGTCATGTTATTGAAAAATTATTGGACTCTGAAATAATGGCTTCAGTCTCTGCCTGTAGACGAAGTTTCTACCTTCCTCAAGTGCAACTGAGACTGATAAACAGTTACCTTCTTGCAGGTTAAGTCGAGAATGATGGGTGACTCAGCCTACAAAAGCACTCTCGATTGTTTTGTGAAGACACTTAAGAATGATGTATGTCTCAGTTCCACACTGCTACTTATGTTATGATTCTGGGTTCAAATTTAGATGTGCAGAAAATATACAGATATGACCTTCCACTGAACACATCTAATAGTTGCAGTAAGAATATAAGGTGTAATCCCATAAAAAATCATATAGCATGTAATGCGTTCATCACCAGGCCTCTCTTGGAGTTTATTTGACCTGATAATAGTATTCACTGTATCATGGTGATAACCATGTGGCATTTCCTCAATATTTGACATTCTAGGAGCAGTTTTTTTCCCCTTCCCAGACCTGCCTTAGGCAGTTTTTCCTTTTTAGAGAATTTGACCTGATTGAACAAGAATTTGTCTTCGTACTCAAAGTGTGTTGAGTAGTGCACTGTCTTATTCCACCATGTAGTGTCCATTTTGTTTCTTGACAGCACATAGGAGTTGCCTTTTGTGCCCTAGCATGGTGCAACTAATCTCTGGTCTAGATAAATTTGTTCTTCAGAATATACTGAATTTTTCTTCCTTTTGCACCATTGCCCCGTTCGCTTGGCTGAATTTGGTTGAAAATACTGTTCCGGCTGAATTGTTGTGAGAGAAAAACACTGTTCCGGCTGAAAAAAAGAAGCCGAACAAGCCAAAACTTAAGGTCAGCCGAACGAGCCTAATCCAGAGTTGCTGCAGCATATTTGAACTTTGATTTGTCAATTTAGTTGTATTGACCGGGAACTGAAAAATCTGTTTATGATATAGAGCTACTCTATTGTACGTGGTTAGTGTACAATGAATTCCAGGAGGCAGGCATTAGCTAATGATTAAGTGGTTTACTCTGCAGGGCCCTTTGGCATTTTACAAAGGCTTCCTGCCAAACTTTGCAAGACTGGGATCTTGGAATGTGATTATGTTCTTGACATTAGAGCAGGTAAATGAAAATGAACCCCGTGCTCTCTCTCTCTCCACCAGATATTCAGCAGAGTGGAAGTATTTGAGCTTGTTAAATCCAATATTAACACATTGTTTGTTGATCTTGTCAGGTTCAAAAGCTGTTTGTGAGGAAACCGGCAAGCTGAAGATAGAGGTTTTGCAGCCAGGTGGCGTACTATGACGCACAGTTTTTCTTCTATAGACAAAAGGGAAAAAAAATTTGACACCTTCCCCTGAAGAATTGGGGAACAAGGACAAATCTGACACCTCAATTGCGAGAATAAGGTTCTGTTCGCTTCGCTGAAAAGCCATGGCTGAAAGTACTATTCGCTGATTTATTATGAGAGAAAAACACTGTTCCTTCACTGAAACAGTACGGCTCATAAGACAAGCGAACATAGCCTAAATCACAGCGGGCAGTTGCATGATCCCTGAACGAATAAATTCACAACTAGCAAACAGATGTGAGTAAACAATATGTGGTGAATGTTGGAACTTGAACTGCTGTAGTTCAATGGGGGGCCTGTTAATGATGAGCATCCAGTGCATGTTTCGAATATTTAATGTTTTGTTTTTCTGTACTTGTACCGAAATGCTTTGATCGGTATGACGATCAATGTGTGTGAAGGGTAATCCAGGTGATAAATGGTCTGCACTCTGCAGAGCTTGGTTGTTACTTCCTCCATCCCAAATTGTAAGACGTTTAATTTTTTTGGTCATAAGTTTGACCACTCGTTTTATTTAAAAAATTTATGTAAATATAGTCAAATTTAAGTCATTCTTGAAGAATTTTTATTAATAAACCAAACCACGACGAAAGAAGTGATATTTTACATAAATTTTTAAATAAGACGAGTGGTCAAACTTGGTGTCAAAAAAGTCAAATATCTTCTAATTTGGGATGCATTGAGTATGTGATATCATGAGAATGAATGATAGTGGATTCATTGATCGTGTGGGAGCAGATGCTGCTTGTCTTTGTTATTGTACTTAGACAAATAAACATAATGCAGCTGTTTTTACTGAAGAAGCAAGCAGCTGCTGCTATGGTGCTACGCACAAGGAGAAGCAGAGCATACAACAACAAACACAGCACTGTGCAGTGTGGCCTCGTGATTTGGAGAAGGAAGCAGTACTCCAATTCAGATGTTGCTCCTGATCTTCATCTTGCCGAAGAGCGAGTGCCTCCCCTCGGCGACGACCTGCCCCGTGGCGGCGTTGGCGACGAGGACGTGCGTGCCAGAGTAGGCGCCCTTGTGTCCGAGCGCCCTGGCGGTGATGCGGAGGGCGTCCCCGGGCGCGGCGGCGGCGAGGTCGACGGACATGTCGACGGAGACCTTGAGGTGGTGGCCGTCGGACACGGAGGCGGCGGAGCTGATCTCGTCCACCAGAGCCACAACGGCGCCGGGGGCTATGTGATTGTCGCCGGCTGTGAGGCGTGCGGGGACCGTGAAGGAGCAGAGGATGTGGCCCGGGCGGATGCTCTCCACGCGGATCCCCTGCAGCGCGAACCCCTCGAAGAAGCTGGGGCTGGGCTCCCCCCGCGCGACGGTGGCAGCGGCAGCAACAGCAGCTCGTCGGTTCAGCGCGTCCACCAGCGCGCCATCCTCATCGCTCACCCTTACCTGCAGCAACGCCTTCAGGTCATGGTTATCAGAAGCCGCCATGGCTCCCCCTTTGCTTGCAGTCAGCAGTTTGCCTATCCCTTCTTCCCCTTGGTTGGGAACTTGGGAGCCCCTAAAAAATGGGGTGGGGAGGAGCCGGAGCAGGACAAGGGAGAAGAAGGGGTGGGCCCACATGTCAGCTGCCGCAACTGCAAAGTGATCAATGTAGTATGATATGACGTTTTTGCCCCGCCGTTATGTCAGTCACTGTTCCTGTTTGTCCTCGCTTTAGATTTACGCCGTGTTTAGTTTCAATTTTTTTTCAAAAAAAATGCTACAGTATATATCACATCAAATCTTACGATACGTACATAAAGCATTAAATGTAGACGAAAAAAAAACTAACTACATAGTTTGGTTGAAAATTATGAGACAAATATTTTAAATCTAATTAGTCTATAATTAAATACTAATTACTAAATAAAAACAAAGTGTTACTGGGGCCCAAATTCCAAACTTCCCTCAGCTAACGCGCTTAGGTCCGTCGGAATCGGATACAGAGGAGCCGCCGCCGCCGCCATGGCTGGCGCTGCTTCCTGCCCAACTTGACGCTGCCCCGTCGCTGCCCGCTCTGATCCAAATTATCCCCAGAACAAACAGAGACAAGCCAGAGACCCAATGGAACTACAACAAGAACAAGAATCAGCAGGGGAGCACCAGGAAGGAGGGGAGGAACAGCTCGCCCAAGATCTGGTCCACCGCTTCCAGCGAATCCTCCACGACGCCCCCTCATGTTTGCTTCTTTCCTAGCCACTTTTCTTTGTCCGTTTCTTGATTCCAGTTCCCAAACCAGAGTATGATACTAGATCGATACTTGTATGAGAACCCGACTTAAGTTAATAATTCCATTCCGTTCCATTCGCAGTGATGAGGTGGGGTTCTTGCACCCAACACAATTCTGCTCACTAGAAGATGACGATTCCAATTCCCAACATCCGGAGCCTCACCACACAAGGTACTTGTGGTGCAGAGACCACAAGCTCGCCATCTCCGCCGAGATCCTGCCCAGGCTCTACCGCGCTGCCCAGGATGCCTACTGCAACGCAAGGGATGCCCCGCTATCCCCTACTCATCTCATGAGGCACACCAAGGCACTACTCATACTTTGTCCTGACCTACTTACCGCATGGAACTCCAGGTACGCCCATGCTGTCAGCTGTCACTCACAGTATGTATGCCTAACTAAAGGATTCACCTTGTGTTCAATTGATGAATACTGCAAGCCCCATGCACCGGAAAGAAGAAATTCCAACACCAAATAGGGTCTCTTCTTTCCTGCAGGAAGATGGTGCTGTCAGCAGAGTATGATTTCACGAAGCTCAAGGATGAGCTGCAATTGTGTGCCTTGATCCTTTCCTACTCGCCAAAGAACGAGAGCACATGGAGCCATAGGTACACCCGGTCCTGCACTTGTCACCCCAGCTTGCCCATGGAACTAATCCTTTCAGACAATACCTATCTATTTGGAGCTGATTTCTATAATAAAATAAAACTGCATGGAGTTTAAAGTAAACTGTCTGCCACAGGAGGTGGGTGATAAAACAAGTTGCAGAGCAACATCAAGATATGTCGGAGATTATAGAGAATGAATCAATACTAGTCAAAGAGATAGCAGAGGTTATAATTCCCGAATACTTGCTTATTCAAGCTGCTAACAATGTCGACTTTGACTGAGCTCATCATATTATATCATTCGTTCCCTGTTGTTTTTGACGTAGCTGGTAATTAAATTTCTCCAATACAAGAAGGTCCATGCAATACGCAGAAAAATAATTTTACGCCTTTTGCAGAAATCGAAAATGAACTACCGTGCGTGGAGGCATCGATGCTGGCTTATTCCTTACATGACACGGAAACAGGTGAAGATAAATGATTCAGACTCATTGAAAAATTCCTTGTCCCTGATTCTTAATCTTGTAACTGGACTTCCTAGCTACAGAGTATCTGCTGGTTAGTTACCATGCAGAACATTTTATTTCTGTTTCCTGAAGGTGCTGGATGAACTGAAGAAGTCAACAAGATGGAGTGAGCTACATGTTGCTGACAATTGCTGCTTTCACTACCGAAGGGTTAGTAGGTTCCCTATGTTTACAGTTGGTACTACATAATTCCTTGAAGCAGATTTTCTTTGACTTGATTTTCATATCGACCTGTAACATCTTCTTAGAGCCTGTACAATATGTTTGCAGACCAGAGCTTTTCAATGCACACCACGATTTAGACTTTATGTTGTTTTGGACTTCCATTTGTTGACACATTCCAATGGCATAGCACACATCCTGTTTACCAACCAGTCTGACTGACAGCATGTGTATTTACCGGTCTTCTTGTTGCATCCTTGCAGTCCCTTCTTCTTGCGCTACTAGAAAGTCGCCTGGGGAATGGAGAGGATTCCCTTAGTTGGGAGTCAGAAACTTACCTTCTATGGAAGGTATTGATGTATTCGATCAAAAAGCTAATTACCTTTTTGCTACAGTTATTTGTAATCACTTCAGGCATCATATCCTCTCTTTCCATTATGAATGTGATACAAAGCAGAAGACAAAGGATCCATGAATCATTGTGTTTTACAACATTGGTTTCCTTTATCCTATAGTTAGTTGATACCCACCCATCTTGGTGCGAAGTAAAATTAAAGTGTATATGATCTGACAGGAGGAGCTGAGGTGGGATGAGATGCTGATCAGACGCTACCAAGGGAGAGAGGTTTGAAAATTAGCCTGCTGCTGTTCTTCCCACTTGTGATTCTGGTTGGTGGAGTGCGTGTTTGCTTATGCTAGCTGCGGGGATGTATTGGTGCAGTCGTTGTGGAACCATCGCCGGTTCCTTTCACAGTGGTGGATACAGCACTTGCTCACTGTTGAAGAAACCTGCCTCTCAACGATGTCCCAGGTGGATCTATTTGTGACCCAGGAGATATACCTGCTGTCAGAGTGCCTGAATGACCCTGAGGATGAGTTTGATGAGTCACGCGTCCAAGCAGAGCTTTCAGCAGTCTACATCCTCTGGATATCAAAGGCAATCACTACCCCTTTGGCCCTTTTACCCAGTTTGCTTAATTGCTTAGTGCCGCGCGTTTGCTAGGATAGATTCTTTTGCTCTCAAGTGAAGGGTTTAGTTTAGTTTTGACTGGGAAACTATTGCGTGTTCCGTTGGATGCAGCAAGTCCCAGCATTGAAAAGGAAGCTGGAAGAGAGGCTGCATTCCATTTCCATGGGGAGGCTGCAGGACGTGATGGAAAGAGCCTGCAGGCCGGAGAAGAGGCGGTTGTGGATGAATCTGCTGGGCTTGGCTGATCAATCCCGCTGACAGAGATGGCCCCCTTTCTTGTTGAGTTTGAGGGTGTCAGCTTCGATTGCAGCTGTAATGTAAAGAAACAAGTGGTTCGGTTTCACACGTGACATGATGGAGGCCAAGTGTTTGCTTCAGGTCGTGCGCGTGATTGTAGAACAGGATTGGCATTACTGGCAAGTCGAAATCAAATTACTGTACACCCAATGCAAATAGGACGAGAGTGTTTAATTGGGACTTGGGAACAATGCTGGTTGTTTTCCCCTACCATTTGCTGCATCTATATATGTCCCTGAATGATCCTGGCCTGACACCGTGCTCGAATTCAATAGACAAGAACAGATCATGCTAATCTTGGAGAAAGAAAAGGCTGTGATAGTCCCCACCCACCTGGAAGTAAGGGCCTGTTTAGTTGGCAAAATTTTTTGGTTTTTGGTACTGTAGCACTTTTCGTTTGTATTTGACAATTAGTATTTAATTATGGACTAATTAGGTTTGAAAGTTTTGTCTCGCGATTTCTCACTCAACTGTGTAATTAGTTTTTTTTTCGTCTACATTTAGTACTCTATACATATGTCGCGAGATTCGATGTGATAGATATTGCGTAAAATTTTTTAGGTTTTGGGTGGAACTAAACAGCCCTTAACAAGGCCCTGTTGTAGAGTGTGTGTATGTAGCAGGCTAACAGCTAGAGAGTACAGTACAGTACAGTATAACCCAACACAAGGACTAGCAGTTCAGTTCACCACTAGCTATGGCCCACCTTGTCAGCCAGAAGAAACTGTGTATTTTTGACGATCCATGTGGAGTGATGCTGAAGGAAAGGAAAGGAAGGAAGGAAGGAGTGAATGCTACGGGGCTGGCTGGCTGGCTGCTATTCACATTGAATCTGATGGATGGATCCATCAGCAGAGCAGCAGCAGCAGCTAGAGTCCAAGCGTGCTCCTCCTAGTCTTGGCCTTAGCAGGCAACGAGCTGAATTCATGTTTGGAATTGGAAGAGGAGCGCCTGGTTGGTGGAGGCAACTGCTGCTGCTGGTGGTATTGCATTCCCATTCCCACTCCCATCTGCGGCGCCATTGCCGGATCAAGGTCATGATGCCCTGATCTCGAGTAAGAAGGCGACCTCGTCGTGCTCAGGTTCCTCTCCAGCAGGACCTCGTCCCTCCTCGTCCTGAAGCCGCCATTGTTATTGTTATACCTGGCGGCGGCATCACGCATCTCCACACCAGAGATGCTCCTCCTCCCACTCAGATTCCCGCTCCCAATCCCAGTGCCGCTCAAGGAGCTTCTCGCGCTTAGGCTGCTGTTGCACCGGAGCATCTGCCCGTTGTACCCCCTGGCCCGGAGCTCCGGCCATGGGTACTCGTACTCATCTCCTCCTCCTCCTCCTCCTGCTCCCCCAGCTGCTGCCGCTGCCTCTGCAGAGTACTTCCTGCTGCTGCTGCTGCTGCTGCTGCTCTTCTTGCTTATGAGGCCCCAGATGCTCCACCCCTTGATCCCCTTCTTATTAGGCTTGCTTGCTGGCACGCCATTGCAAACGCCATCCCGGAACGGGAACCCCGATCCGAAGCTCCCGGAGAAGTCGTCGGCGCGGAGATTGTTGGGCCCCTGCTGCTGCAGCTCCTCCTCGTCTTCCCTGCTGCAGTACTGATGATGGACAAGCACGCTCTGATGATGATGGTGGTGGGCCTCATGGTAGTGGTACAGCCTCTCTGCGGCGATACCCGCCGGTGACACCCTGGCATTGACATTCATCATCATCATCCTGCACGTCGCCTCGCTGTTGTTGGCGTCGGAGAAGGAGTTGCGCCCAGAGGTGGTGGAGCGGTCCACGCTTCGGCGCCTCCTGCTGGAGCTGGACGAGTCCAGGTAGTAGTCCCTCGTCTGCACGGAGCCGCCGGGCACCGCCGCCGCAGCCGCAGCCGCAGCATTGATATTGTTGTCGTAGTAGTAGCAGTAGTCTTCCTCCACGGGGATTTGCCCATCGGAGCGCGGGACCGCCGGCGGCGCTGCCATGCTGTCGTCGTAGTCCTCGTCCTCCTCCACGGGCAAGGACAGCATGGAGGCCGGCAGGCGGCCGAGCGCCGGCACGGGTCCCGACCGGGCGTCCCACGAAGCTTGGCGGGGGTCCGCGTCGCAGGAGGGACGGTGCCGGGCGGGCATCTCCATCTCCGGCAGCGGCACGGGAATGACCACGGCCACAGGCTCCTTCTTGCTCTTGCGGCGCCATTGCTGCAGCTTCTTGCCCAGGAGGCCGCCCAAGGACGACGACTTTTTGGGTTGTTGGTGACTGTGTGAGCGGCCGGGCTCCTGCTGGTGATGGTCCTCCTCCTCCTCCTCCTGCACCGCCGCCGCGATGGGCTGACCGTGGCGGAAGAGATCGCAGGAGCGGCGCTGCGGCTCCACCGCGGCTGCAGAGCGCGCGTAGGAGAAGGACTTGCAGCGGCGTAGGTCGGCGGCGGAGGGAGGGTGGAGGCCGGCGAGGCGGTCGCGGAGGCAGGCTGGGCAGAAGCCGGTGACGGCGACGCCCGGGTGGAGGCGGCACACGGAAACGGAAGCGAAAGGATCCATGTGCTGCTGCTGTCAAGCCTCCATCATATCATAATATCCTCCGATTTGGCAAACACAAGCTGCTGCTCTCACTCTGTCACACTTGACTACTCTGTCACTCTGTCTTCTTCTCCTTCTTCCAGCTAGTACGAGGAAGAGAATAGAGAAAATGGAAATGGAATGGAGGGAAGGAACAAGCTGCTAAGGAAGAAGATGGCCCTGATGAAGAATAGATAGAATAGAATGAATCCTGATGAAGGAAGCCACAGGCAGAAGCAGGCAGCACAGTTTCCATGTGCTTCTTCACCCCGTTCGTTTGATCGTTTATGTGGTTTATAAACCGGGCTGGCAGAGAAAAACACTGTATCAACCGAACAGGCCGAGGAAGCAGAAGGAACTGTGCTGTGCTACGACTACGAGCCTACGACGTACGAGTGGGCACTGGACAGCAGAGCAGGCAAAAGAGGAGAGAGTGAGAGAGACACTGCCTGACAGATGACTGAGCAGAGCTGCTAGGATCGATGGATGCTATAGACAGACAGGCAGCTGAGCCGGACACACACGCGCGCACACGCACTCCTAGCTGCTATAGACAGGCAGGCTGGCTCGCTCAGCTGCTCCTCCTCCTGCCGCTCTCCCCTTTTCCTTTTTCCCCTGCCTAATGCCTGCTTCCTTCTTTACGCTTTCTCTTTTGCTTTACTGCTACTCCCGACGATCCATCCTTCGTCTCCATCTCCATCTTCATTCATTCAGATTCACAATACAATACTATCATAGCATCCCTACCCTACTACATATATACAGTATATAGGAGTATATATGCTAGCTAGCTAACAACATTTGTCTTGTCTATACGGCCGGTTTCCGTTGCTTCTGATCTTGTCCTCTCTCTCCCCTTTTTCCTTTCCCTAGATTCTTTATATATCTATATATAATATCTCTCTATATTTGGAATATCTCCTTCAAGTGTACTCCTTTTGATCTGAAATATATGTAGTAGAGTCCTCTCTCAATTGCGCCGGCTTTAACTCCAATACACCTTCCCCTTTCTTCTTCCTTGTCTACCTCTACTAATGAAATGCAATTTAATCAATGCAAAATCAACTTACCACCCATCATAATATAACAATGGTCATGTGCAGTATATAGTTATTGTCCACCCCCACACACCACAAACACAGACTTACTTTAATTCCTATTGCCACGGCCATATGGGCTTATATTTGCATAGGTGGAATCTATGTTGCCTAGATACAGATACTGAGTATCGGATACGATACGTATCGGACACATGGATACATCATTCCTCAAAAACACTGACACGGACTTATAAAAAAACACTGACATGGGGATATGTCTAATATATTTTAGTATAATAGTTATTATATATGAATTACAAGCTAAAAGTAGTTACCTAGCAAGTTTTAACTTAAAACTTACCAATTTTGAAGCAATTTATATAACACATTACTTGATTCAGAAAGTAAAAAAAATGAAAAACCAAGAATACTTGCATAAAAGAAGTTATTTGGACGCCTATTCTCTGAGAAGTATCCGATGTGTATCCAAGGAGTATCGGTATCCGATACGTATCTGATACAAATACTGCACCTCTAGAAGTATCCGCACAACATAGGGTGGAATTATGATGACTAGTTGGTTTTCAAGCCAAAGGCCATGCATGTACACATACTAGTCACACAACACATATGGTAAATGCACAAAATTCAACATTTTACCACCTTAGCGAGCGACACACTCTCAAAGTCATCCACTCCAATGAGTTCTCCTTCCTCATTCCTTCATGATGGTGCACTGTACATGGAGCTACAAGTAGGGATGACAATCACACCCCGGGCGGGGAAACATTGGACCCACGGATGTCTTGGGGTCTGGGTCCGCGATGGTGTCGGGTTGGTTGCGGGTGTCATATTTCACCCATGGGGACCAAAATGTATGTTTTTTCTATTTTTCTCCTCTAATTGGGTCGGGTGTGTGTGCAGGTGCGGGTGTGAGATTGCACACTCGAGTCTCATTGAGGGTGGGCGTCGTTGATGGCGGGTTTTTACTCCACCCGCACTAAACCTGACTCGTTGTCATCCCTAAACCATGGCCACCAATGACCACCGGCTGAACAAAGACGAGAAAGCAAATGGTAGGTAGTCTCTAAATTCCACCTATTGCAAAGATGGGTTTGGAGTAGCCCAGTCTTCCCCCAAAGTCCCCAGTGATTCTTCTTCAATGCTAGTGGTCATATTGAAATGGCAACAATGGGTGACTTGTGCTTCTTCATTTGTAAGTTGCAATTTGTCCCCTCCACCCTATGTTGCCTAGCCTGACCCCCCCCCAACTACCAAACAATCCATATTTGGAGCACTAGAACTTAGTGGCGAATCTTGTTAAGGAGAGAGGAAAGATTAGAGAGGAAGAGTGGAGAGAGTTGTCCTACAAAGGCCATGCCCAAGGTGACAACCCACAATGGAAGAGTGGTTGATCTCCTTTTCTCTTTCCCCTGTCCTCCCCCTCATCTTCCTACCTTTGTCCCAACCTAGTCCATAACAAAAGCAAACAAAGAAAGGAGGGAACCAGAGGACCAAAGAGATGGAGGATGGCAAAAGAGTCATTTCATATCAAGAACCTGTTGAAAGTGGCAAATGAGAACAATTGTCATGGTCCCAAAGAGGGCCCTTTTCAGCGGGCCGGGTGGGTCGACCAGAGCACAGGAAGCAGCGACGGCCCCGGCTGAGGGCGCCCCAGCACGTCGGTAGAGGGCGCGGCTAGGGGGGCAGCGCCCCACCTCCACCACATTATCTCGAGTTTTAGGCAATTTAGAAAAATATAGATATTTAAGAAGAATAGATAGATAATTGTTTAGAAAAAGGAGAGCCGGAATTTGTTAGGAAAAGAGAGATTTTGTTTTAGGAAAGGAGAATCTAAACCTATACGGATTCCTTGCTAGGTTGCTTGGTGTGCAAGTATGCTAGGGACTATAAATATAGGGGCATTGTAACTATTCCATCTCAAGAAGAAAATAGAGTCTTGCTCTATAAACAAATCTCCTCTCTTTCTCTTGCTCCAAGCGCCACCTCCCCTCTCCCACGCCCGCATGCCCGCACGCCGCATGCCGCAAGCCACCGCCAATGGCACCACCATGTGCAGCCTCTCCCTAAGGACTTAATCCTGAAGTGGCCACCCATGAGGTACTGTACAACCACGAGTATCACATGGCTCTGATCTTAATCAAGTAACTAGTACGTCTCTAGCTTGTTAGTGGTTACCGAAAGGCGCAAGAGGGGGATGCCAAGTCGGATATGGCTCTTGTCCTGTCGTGGTGTGTGTTGGGCTGCGAGTCAATAGTCTGCCACTCTCGGAGGAGAGCATCTATATCTGCTTGTCCTAACCACCGCCCAACCAACCCTCGGGAAAGAATCATCACGCCTAGTATCCGGAGACCAGATCGATCCTATGGCCTCCACCACCGCCACCGTGATCGCTGAGATGAAGAGGATGCCGAGCATCTTCTTCGTCAACATGGGCAACCCCTTCGACGAGCTTAGCACGAAGCTCACCAAGTTGGACCTCCACCTCGCCAACATCGAATGCCAATGCTGCCCCGAGCTTCGTGAGGCCACATCTGAGGAGCTTGAGAAGGAGACCAAGCGCATCATGGAGGACGCCGGCCGCGCCTTCCTCAAGAGGAAGCAAGAGGCGCCCGCCACCATCATGTCTCCTGATCTGTTTGTACACAATGGCAAGCAAGTTGTTCACCACAGCTACCCCATCTGACGATCCACCGAGGAGCACCACTGACACCTCTGCTACAGCTCCGTAGTTCTCATCGCAGATCATCATCGACAACGACGACAACGATTGCACCAACATCGAGCGTCGCTTTGCGGATGCTCATAGGCGCCCCAAACTCAGGGGTGCAAGGAGGACACACCATGCTCTTGGCGGGAGCCATCACTGGCCAGGGCGTTTGGATCCTCGTCGACACTGGCACCACGCACAACGTCATCGACTCCAACACCACCTGTACCATCGGCCCACTTTTAATTAATTGAGACAGGCCATCAGCAACAAAAAGGAAGAGATATGACGACAAAGGATAACCTTGGCGTAGACCGCATGACGGGGAGAAGGGCGTCGACAGCGCCCCATTGAAGCGAATCGTGTAGCGCACCGATGTCACGCAGACCATGATTCGGTGAACCCACTCACTTTGAAAGCCCAGCTTCGAAAGAATCTTTTCTTTGAAGCCCCAGTCAACACGATCATAAGCTTTCGATAAATCCAATTTATATGCACAGAAATTTCCTCGATCATCAGAGTTAGTACTAATGGCATGTAAGCGTTCAAAGGCTATCAAGGCATTATCGGTTATCATTCTACCTAGAATGAAAGCACTTTGGCCAGGCGAGATGATCTCCTGCAAAAAGGTCTCAAACGGTTCACAATGCATTTAGAGATAACCTTATAAATGACGTTTTAGAGACGGTTGGCTCTAAAATATATACGTACTCTAACATATATCTCTTGCTTGGAACTAATTTGGTCATTCAACTTGGGCCAAAAACATATATTGAGCTGATTGTGACGATGCATGCATGTACGTCGATCATCTATGAGGCAGAGGCAGGCACGGGCGCTGGCATGGCAACAAGCAGCGCATTAGCTGGCTGGATGGACCCGGCCGGTAGCTAGCAAGGGGTGGCCAAGCCAACCATGCATGCATGCTAGATAATGATGGTGATGATAATACTCCCAAGAACAGGATACATCATGAACGAAGATGATAATTATTATTCTAAGCAAGGCAGAGACAGGCAGGCATGCTTGCTTTATTTGACTAGTACTAGCATATAGCGTAGGGTTTAGCCCAGCAATATACCCAATGTGTAATGTTGCTGTCGACCCACACCTTACTGCTGTTGAGCATCATCATCATCATCATCTATCATTCTGGTGCTAGTACTACCATGCTAGCTCAGATGCATGTCACAACTGCTGTCACACGTACG